TTGACTTTATTTGTATTTTAAGTTTAAAGATTTACTTTTACTTTTATATTCCCTCTTTTTATTTTTTCCTTTTGTTGAAAGGGAAAGTAAAATGGCGATCGGCAAGCCTTTCGGTTTTTTTTTTTTTCCTTTGGGAAGGTAGAATGGCGATCGGCAGGCTTTTTGGTGTTTTTTTTTTATCCTTTTCCTTTTTTTTAATGATTGGAACGTAATGTGGATTTGATTTTGATGTTGGGTTTGGATTTTAGAAGCATTATTATTTTTGTTTAACTTCTTTGTTTTGCTTTTTGTACTTTTAAAAAAATGGAATGGATTTTTTCTATTTAATTATTTTTTTCTTCTTCCCTTTTCTTTTTTTAACTCCTTTCTTTTTATTATAATGATCTCCTTTTGAAGGATTTTTTGAATTTTTTTGGACTTAATCTCTCTTTTTCTTTTGCTTAATTTTTGTAATTTTTAAGAAGGAGTAAAGATTTTTTTTAAGATGGCTCCAAAGCGTCCAGTAATTCCTACAGCTCCTAAGGTGGTTTCTTCTTCGGTGTTATCATCAGTGCAACAACCTAAATCAATAGCTTCACCCTCTTCCTTGGTACAGCCAATAATTGTGAAGGATTTGCAAGATATGATGGGAAATGTTATATCTCAAATTAGGGCAGAAATGAAAGAGATTTTAGAGGAAAATAATAAGATTTTGAGGCAAGAGATAGTTTTGGCTCTAAAAGGAGTTGCCTCTGTTCTTGAAAAGCTGAACTCTTGTGTAGAAGAGGTAGCAGAAAAAAGTGGAATTGATGGAGGGAAAATTTGAAAGCATGGAAAAAGAAATGAAAAATGAGATTCTTATGCTTCAATATAGACAAATGGAATATGCCTTAAGAATCAGAGGTTTGGGAGAGTCTGTGCAAGGAGATCTGAGAGAGATGGTTGCAAAGGACTTTGCTGTGATTTTGAATAAAGAAAAAGAGGAAATACTTAGTGAAATTGAAAAATTATTTAGAGTTAACTCTGTGGTGGCAGTGCAAAAGAATTTGCCAAGAGATGTGGTAATTTACTTTGGGAAAAGATCCCTGCGCAACGAAATTATACAAGCTTTTTATAAGAAGAGATTTCAAATTGCTTCACAAGATGTTATAATTCTAAAGGAGATCCCATCTAAAATTTTAAGAAGAAGAAAGGAGTTTGTTTTTTTAGCAGATGAACTTAAAAAGAGACGAATCTTGTTCAGATGGGATGTTCCGATTGGAATGATGGTGAATTACCTGGGGATATGTTATAGACTTAATACTGTTTCTCAAGCAAAAGACTTTTATACTTCGGTCCTGGGGGTATGTTCATCGCCATCTATTAAGTTTAAAGCTTTGGAAGAAAAGAAGGTAGAATTGCAGTCTGAAGAGCCTATACTTATGAAAATTGGGAAACCTCAGTTTGAGGGGCCTCAACAAGTTGAGATGGAGGAGCAGAGGATAACCTGTGCAACATATAACTGTAAAGAAAAGGAGCAACAGAAGAAGGTTAAGGAAGCCTCACAACTATTGGTTTCTGAATCTGCGGGAGAAGTAGGATTTATAAATTTTTTGGAGCAACCTTTAAGGGTAGAATTGAAGTCTGAAGAGCCTATATTAATGAAAAATGGGAAATCTCAGTTTGAGGGGCCTCAACAAGTCGAGATGAAGGAGCAGAGGACAACTCGTGCAACATATAATCATAAAGAAAAAGAGCAACAGAAGGAGTTTAAGGACGCCTCACAAGTATTGGCTCCTGAGTCTGCGGGAGAAGCAGGATTTATAAACTTTTTGGAGCTACCTTTAAGGGCAGATTTCAAAGCACTTCTTTCGAGATTTATGGATAAGAGAGACTGACAAGGATGGAGATGAAAATTCTAGATAAGATGTTTAAGTTTAAGTACTTAGTTTAAGTATTCAAAAGAGTACTGAATCTGTGGGAGAAGCAAGATTTACAAACTTTTTGGAGTTAGCTTTAAGGGCAGTTTTCAAAGCACTTCTTTTGAGGTTTATGGACAAGAGAGACTGATAAGGAATGTGTTTATTGTGGATGGAATTTGTTATTGGTAAAGATTTAAATGTGTATAAGGGAATTCTAATGTTTTAAGTAATGTTCAAATTTGTGTTTTGGAGGGAGTTTATAAAGAATGATGGATAATAACATAAGTATGATATGAAAAGGTTCAGAGTATATTATAATGTGTTTAATGATTGGGTTTATTATTATTATTATTTTAAGAGAAGATAACTTGTTTAATTAAATGTACCTAGATTTGTTTAGGATTTATATGTCTTTTAAGTTTTTTTTTTTGATAGGAGAGAAGATTATGGAGATTGAATGAAAATCTTAGATAAGAAGTTTAAGTTTAAGTATTTAGTTTAAGTATTCAAAGAGTATTTAGTTTTAATGGTATAATGAAGGTTTATATGTTTTTTTTGTGTTCTAGGATAAAGAAAGAGGGAGAGATTAGATTTTATATTGTAGGTATAGATATTCAAAGAAAGTAATGTTTAAATTTGTGTTTTGGAGGGAGTTTATACAGAATGATGGATAATAATATAAGTATGATACTAGAAAATGTTTAGAGTATATTATAATGTGTTTAATGATTGCAATTATTATTTTTTAGAGAAGATAACCTATTTAATTTAATGTATTTAGATTTGTTTAGGATTTATATGTGTTTTAAGTTTTTCTTTTCTTTTTCTGAAAAATTTTAATTAAGCCTGTACTCAGCTCTGGGAAGGTTGGGGGAGGGTTTGGGAGGTTTGGGGAGGTGGGGGAGGGTATGGGAGGGTGGGGGGGTTTGGGGAGGGGATTTGTTTTGTAAAATTTAAAAAACTTTCAATAAAAAAAAGAAAATGAATTATACTCAGATAATTAAAAAACAATGTGCTAGAGAGGCCTTTCATAGTCTGTATGTGTGTGGGGGGGGGCAATTAACTAGTTACTGTTAATTGATCTTTGTTAACATAACATCCCTGTTTGTAAAGTGACTGTTAACATGAATAGATTTTAAGAAAACATATTGAACAAGTTATTAATCAAGAAATGCAGCTTTTCTTATTAATTTCAACCTTCAGAGGTGCAGTGAAAGATCATTTTTAGATTAATATTGATATCTTAGACTGAAGCTGTGATGCCTCATCTGCACTAGAATAATGGAGATCTATTAAATATACTTTACTTCATCCTTTCTCCAAGGGCTAATCCCAATACAAGTAAATTAGTTTATCTGAAATATTACTCATCTAAACTCACTGTGTAATATTAAGAATTAAAAAAATGTATATCTGGGCTATTTTCGGCTTAGCCTGATGCTGTGTTCCAAAGATAAGCAACTTGTTCTGAAAATTGGTGAATTCCTAGAAAATGGGGCCAATGATAATGGATACTGCACATTTTAGTTCTGGGGCATCTGAAATGGGCCCCCTCCCCCCTTTCCATTCTCAAGATCACTGGACCAAACGTTTCAGCTTTTCAATCCTCAGACACCCTGCTGTGAAATTCTGCTTCATACTGTATATTGATGATGCAACTGTACTGTTTCTTATAAGCCAAGAAATAAGTCTTTGAATAGACTTCGTAAAATATTATTGCTCTCCCTGCTAATTCTTAAATACTATCACATTGTAATTCCTGGTTACATAAAATAGTTGACCACCCTTCCTCTGGACCATTTTGGATTTTAATGGGATGCTTTGTTACTAAATTTAGAAAGTCTTGAAACAGTGTGCTTTATATACTATTAATTTTCAAGGTAAACATGTATTGATGCTTTTTTTTCATACTGTAAACAACCAAAAAGATACAGTGCCAATTCTTTCATGAGTTTGTAATCTTTTTACTCCTTCTCAGTTAGGATCAAACTTAATTTGATAAATAAGTTTTAAATATGACCTGAAGCCCATTGTGCTTCTGTGATCTTTGTTTAGTTATAATGTATAAAATATTGAGATGGGCTAGCACACTTTAATATACCTATACTAAACTATAATTTATAGATTAACTCTTGATTCCCAGTTTCACAGTTACACTGGAAAAATGTGCTTTTTATAGCCACTTCCATACAAATGAAAGCTACTTCCATTCAAATAAGGAATTGGAGGCCAACACAAGAACAAAGTCTCACTTAAGCTGCACAAGGCACCATTGGAAATATATGTCTATCTAACTCAGTATTGTTATGATTAATATTGGACTGCGACTAGGAACAGCTTGGTTAAATCCCCACTCAGCAAAGAAATTCCCACTTAGTCACTTTGCTTCAGCCTCACAATTTTAAAAACAAACTAGTAAGAATAGTATATAAATCATTCAAAGGTTTTTGGGAAAATAATTTAATTTTTTACAAGAGCTGAACTTTAAAGGATAAAAAATATAAAAACAGGGAAAGGATACTTTAAAATTTATTCAGTGACAGTGATAAGGAACAGATCCATTTTTCTTTCTATTTCAAATGTGACAATTCATAGTGGCATCCATAAGGATGGAGGGAAAGGGTAAAATTAGCAAGATGGCAGATGGAATGTCACACTAACTTACCTTAATATTTCAACTAAAATGTACACTATAGTTCCAACCTCTGCTTCTGGGCATCATATTTAGCAATCTTTCTGGCACTTCTGGCTAGACATTGACTTTTAAGAAATAAATGATCAGCAACACACCTCAGTTTAATGAAAGTGGATTTCCATGAAACTGAGTTTGGTGTTCAACATTTTGCATGATATTTCAGATACTGGAAGATATCTCTGTAGATAATATTTATCCAGGTCTATTGCAAAACTACATAGTCCCTAGGGACATAGATGTCCAGCAAAAACCACAATAATGTGAAAAAGAAGAAATGTGCATAGTGACATCACAACACAAACTGTCCTTTCATGGTTGTATTTTGACATTGCTCACAAGTAAGTAAATAATGTAGTTCTCTCATTTCTTCCTCTTGCCATTCCCAATTGCCTACATGTATGGGTCAAGTACCTTAAGCATCTCACCTAAACGGATGGCATCTTTTTGAATATGTTCATAGTCATGCCAGTCCTTTCTTTTCAAGCCATCTGTCCAGGTATATAGTTGTCCATCTCCAAACCTCACTGGCAAGGTCTGCAAAGGAAACAGTTATAATTATAGTATGAAAAGGAAAACAAATGACAGCAAGTGCTCAATTTTTGTTGAAACTCAAACTTATTCAAAAGCAAAAGCAAGCACTAATTAGGCTACTTGTATGCACCATAATATACACATGGAATTCTTGCATATGCTGGCTGATTTTTCCATTCATTTGAATGACTGAATCAAGAATTTCCTATGTATAAAAATATACCAGTCTCTCTCTCAAATACTTGCTTATTTGAGTCAGCTTTAAATGTTTAGGGTTCCCCCCCTCCTTTTTTTTTTTTTTTTTTTAAAAAAGGAGGATGTTATTTTCTGGAGTTATTTGTTTATTTAGATTTTTGGTTTTGTGAGGAAAACTATCCAGGACTGTACAGTTATTGCATTTTTGGTTCTCCTTTTAAAATACAAACTATCTTGATTCTTAACATAAAGAATGGAACTAACGTAGACTAAAATGGTAACAAATCCATTTGAAGAGCTAGCTGATTTAGCATGTACTATACTATAGTACATGTATATACTATACTACTATACTATACTACTATAGTACACTACACTACACTACACTACACTATACTATACTACTATACTATAGTACATATACTACTATACTACTACACTACACTACACTACACTACACTACACTACACTACACTACACTACACTACTATACTATACTATACTATACTATACTATACTATACTACTATACTATAGTATATGTACTATACTATAGTACATGTATATACTATACGTTTCCTTCTCTGTCTCTTTTAATAAAATAAAAAAAGTTTGGAAATTTGGGATTGTTGACAATTTTTAATAAAAAGAGCTGAAGCTATGGATACCAAATGCTAAGATCATATAGATAGATATAATTAAACACATGATAACCTGGAAAGTGTGTTCCATTCTGATTTTAATTCAAAGATATCTAATTGGTTAAGCATCAATCCCTGCCTTTCACATTGACATTTCTTTAATAATATTTTATGTACTGTGGCATGCCTTAAAACCAAAAAAACAAATGAAACAATTATTGTATATACTGTGGGAAGAATCCAGATAAAGAAATATTTTGGGGAATATTAAAAAGGCAGAATATATTTCCCCAAAGGAATAATGGAGAAGATCTTTAAAAAGACAGAAACCAGCCCCCAGAAACCAGCCCCAGCCACTCTCCCCCAAGCAGAAACTAGGCAGAAGCCAGCTTTTAGAAAGGCAGTTGTAAGCTGGAGCCAGGAAGCTATTAGGAAGACAAATACACCTAAAATCTAAATACCCCCACCCAAATTCTAAAGACAGGAGACATAATAGGATTAACCCACCAATACCAAAAGGGCACACTCAGACTCAGGTCAAAGTACATCACAGGAAATACAAAGCCTCAAACAGGAGCAGAAAACAACCTCAAGAGCCCCAGAGGGTATAAAAACCCACCACTCCCTGCTACATGTGGTCATCTTTCCCAGAGCCATCTTTCTGTCTGGCTCTCCTCTTCAATAAACTGCAACCTTCTTTCTAAAGCAGTCTCCATTTTGTTTATTCCCAGCTTGGACTGGACCCTGATGAAGATTTTTCTTTCGACAATACAATACAGAATCATCTTTTCATTTTAATATAGAATGGAAAATCAGTACTTGTATTGACTTTTGAAACTTTATCCTGAGTGTCACTCTGTAAGAAATAATTTATAAAATGTATACAATGATCTTGGGAAGATTTCTGAAAAGCAAAATGTGGTTATAACTATTTTTCTAACATTGCCTGTTATTAAGAAATAAATATCAATGAGCCATATGGAAACATATTTAATGCTATTTTCTCTAAGTATACATAGAAGAGATACTTTCTTATTCATGGTTCTGAGACAAGATGTTATAAATTTCCAAAAACCGCAGTATTACACTTTGTAAAGCAAGCAAGGAATTTGAAATTAGGGGATACAAACATTTGAAGATGCCTGCAATTCCCCAGTTACTGATTTCCCTTGTTAGCAGCCAAACATCTAGAAACTTTTTTTTTTGAAGTCTTGCTATGGGTTTAACAAGATTATGCTAAAGCACTTTAGAAAATAATTTCCTTGACTTGCTGAAGGCAGAGGAACTTCTGTTTGATAAACCTTATTTCTGAAGTGTTATTTTGGGGGCTGAGAGGCTTACGACCTCAGCAGGAATATCTAATATTACATTTAAAATCAGGAAAATGAATTAAATAATAAAAATGTAATCACATTAGTTAAATGATTTTCTGTTCAGTATTAGAAGCAGTCATTTTGCTTCTTCCATCCCTATTCTTAAAGAGGTAAAAGTAATAATTACAGATACAGTTGCTGGTCAATGGTGATAGATGGAAGATATTAATTTCAAGAGTGGAATTTCAAGGAAACTCTCTCTGTCCCTGCTACTGCTTGTCTTTGCATTGATTCCTCCATCAACTATATTGAATAACTCAGACCAGGGATATCAAACATCCAAAACATCCTCCAGGTTTTACATGGACAATCTGAAACTACATGGAAAAGCATCATCTGAAGCAGAACCCCTTTTCAACACTGTTTGTATATACATCCAAGACATTACAATGGAGCTTGGATTGGACAATGTTCTACCTTCACCATCAACATGGGAAAACTGGTGAAAATTGAAGAAATCAAGTTGTCCTATGAATATAACATAAAAGGTCTGGATGAAGACAATCACTACAATTCCCTGGCATCCTTCAAACTGACAACTTCAAGCAACTTGAAATCAAGAAGAAGGTCAGAAATGAATACATCAAGCGATTAAAGAAGATCTTAAAGTCAGTGAAGAAAATACCATCAAAGCATTTAACACCTGGGAAATTTCATCAATTAGATAGACAGTTGAAATAGTGGACTCAAGCAGAACAAAATATCTGAAGGACAGTGAGGAAAATTAAGCTATAATACCGGTCAGATCTATTGAGTATTGAAGGAATCACATTGTCCTTCAAGAAAAAAAAATGAGGAATGGGAAACAGACATGGCAAGACAAAGTATTACTTGGCTAGTTCTTAAAAAACTAGCAGAAAAAATAGATAATTAAGTGGCTAAGTGCAGGAAAGTTGAAGAAAGAAACAGAGGGGGTAATTCTGGTTGAACAAAACAAGTCTTAAGAACAAATGCATACAGAGCCATAATTGATAAGATCCTACAGACAAGAAATGCTGCCTCTGAAAAGAAGTGGACCATCTAGTTAACTGCTACAAGAAGATTGCATAGACTGACTACCATTGCATGACAAATTAGTAATAATGGTGTCTTGAAATATCTGCAAGAACCCTGTCTTTCTATGGGAATGGGAATTCCTTTTCTCTTTCAGGTTCTGCCATTCTTCTGGGGGGAGGGGGAGCTTGGGGCTGCTACAGTGTATTTCCTTTGCTTGTTTCCTTGCTCTATTCTCTTTGATGTTTCTTCCTTCTGCCTTATCTCTGGGCATAGAAGAAGAGGTATGGAGACCTAACAGACTTGGAAGCAGTGCCTTATCGCTCTGTTCCCAACATTTTCATACCTGCAGATTGGCCTATTTGATCCGTCCGGATGGACACTTGAGTGGGTTTCTATTGATTCTTCTGACATTGATTCACACAGGAAACCCTTAGATCCTGCTGTCAACACCTTCCAGTAAAAGTTCCTTTTGAAATGATGCCCATTTCAAGAGTTCTGCTTTCTTGGGAGACTTAATTGAGGCAAGACCTTACATTAGGCAGAATCTGCAAAGTAGTCAACCCGGAGGGAAAACCCCTACCGTGGGGACCATGCAAAGTGATGTCAAACCACAGTGGTGAGATGGGACAAAGCAACTTTTGCAGGGAAGCTCCCCTCAAGGTTGGCCTGAGCAGCACCAGCTTGTCCGACGAAGCCATAACCAGAGACAGTCGGGAAAAGCCGAGATGGTCAATTGGCATGGGCAAGAAGGAAGAATGGGAGGCAAAAGCCAGAAAGGTGATCCTCAAGTGTGGCAGCTATCAACTGGGATGGAAGTGAGAAATGGAGAGGTCTCTCAACCTCAGTGAAGAAGAAGATGAGAGACCAACTCAGTCTGATCGCTTCCTTAAACAAGCCATCAGTCTGGTGGTGGAAGCTTTCAAAACCCTTAAAGAGGAAGAAGAAGACGACCACTGCTGGGACTCATTGTTGCCAAGACTGGCAGAGGAGGAATGCTGAGAGGGCAAGTTGGCAAATCCTGGTGCCTCAGAAGCTATAGAAGCAATGGCTGCAGCAGCAATGCTAGCATGGGTCATCCCAACTGGGGGAGACAGGTGCTGAGCCAGATGAAGGAGGACTCACCAGCCTAATCAAAAGGTCCCATTCTTGGGAGTGAACTACAGTGGGGCACCCCACCAACTAGGATTTTTCCTAACCCATGTCCTGAGCTACATGGAGGAATATGGCCAGGATATCCCCAGCCACAGAGGACGGGTCAGGGTGGTGACTATAGCCCTGGAGGGAGCAACCACTCGGTGGATGGTGACCCTGCATAAGACTGACACCCTTGAGCTCCAAAACTTCAATCAATTTATGGCTGCTTTGAGGCAAAGATTTGAGGACTCCTTAGCTGACCAGAAAGCCAGAGAGCACATCAAAATGGTGAGGCAAGGTCATTGCCCAGTGGCCGAGTATATGGAGGAGTTCAGAGGCATTTTGCTCAACTGGCTGGAAGAAGTCCTAGTGGACCATTTCAAAGATGGGCTGAACGATGATCTGTACCAAGTGTGCATTGCCTGGGGAGCTCCGGATCACCTCCACAACTAATGCATCCTGGCCGAGGAAGCCGAGATTGACCAAGTCCGAAGTCAATGATGACTTGGCTGGATATGGAGATGCTCCCCCCCCCAGAGGGTAAATGAGAGGCGACCAAAGTCCCACTGCAGCACCATGTTCAACTGCCTGCTTCAAGTACTGTAAAGAAGGACACCGGGCTGCAAAATGCCATTTGAAGACTCCTGTATGCAACTCAGACCGATCTGATGGAGGGAAGCTTGGGAAGACTCCTCAATGACCCAGGGAGACCTCCATGAATAGCGCTGAGGTCATCAAGGTTCAATCCCCCAGGATCCCATGGGAAGGAATTCTGGCCCTAACAGGAAAGCCACCAACTCGCCTGATAGCGACTCTGAGGACGAACAAGAACAATAGAACTGTTAAGTCCAGGGATGCCGAGAAAAGTAACCCTGTAGGCTCTGTTGAACTCAGGTTGTACACATTGCTTAATAAGCTCAACCTTAGTGGGAAATCTAGGGATTCTAGTGAAGAGGCATTTTCATTTGACCAGTTAGATGAGTCCATCTCAGGGGGGATCCAAACTACCCTCGCCATACAGCCAGTCGAACTCATGATGGGGGATTATGTTGAGACTTTAACTTTTATAGTGACCCCTGGCATGGAGTGGCCCCTAATTTTGGGGGTGACATGGCTGAGGAAGTGGAACCCAAGGGTGGACTGGAGGACAGAAGAGTTGAGGTTTCCAAAAGAGAAGCTCACCGAATTGGGGGGGGCACAGACCCAAGAGGAAAGGAGCTCCTGACATGGTAGCAACTGCAAAAGATCGGGGGTTGGAAGCTGTACCCAAGAAATATCGGGATCTAGCTGAAGTGTTCAGTGAAGAATGATCTGACGAGCTGCCCCCTCATTAGCCCACCGACTGCATCATTGAGATCCTACCAGGAGCCAAATTGCCTAAGCTCAAACTGTACTTAGTGACTCCATGGGAGCTGGGAGAGTTGCAGAAATTTTTAGAGAAAAATCTAGCATGATGTTTCATACAGCCAGCAAGACCAAAAATGGCAGCCCTGGTGCTGTTCCACAAAAAGAAAGACGGGTCTCTTCGCCTCTGTGTGAACTATATATCCTTGAACGTGGTGTGGGAAAACAATATCTACCCCTTGCCGCTAATGAAGGACATGTTGGCTCTCCTAGCAAAGGGGGAGATATTCTCAAAATTGGACCTATGGGAGACATATTACCAGGTGAGCCTTAGATCCTGCCTTCTACTACTGCTGACCACACCTTCCAATAAAAGTTCCTTTTGAAATGATGCCCATTTCAAATGTTCTGCTTTCTTGGAAGGTTTAATTGAGGTAGGACCTTACAAATACCATTTTCCATCATAACATATCAGACTTAAGAATTGTCAATAAAAAGGACAAAAAAGTCCAGGTGTGGCAATACCTGGAGACAGCAGAATAGAAAAGAAAGAACTGGAAAAAATAACAAAAAGACCTGCAGACAGAAATAGAACTGTGGCAAAAGGAAGCAAAGGTAGTGTCAATAGTAGTAGGCACCTTGAATGCAATCCCAAAACAACTAGAGTACCACTTAAACACCATCAGCATTGACAAAATCACAACCAGTCAATTGCAAAAGGCAGCTTTACTCAGGACAGTTTAGACCTTGTGACAATAACTTTATCAAATGCAAAATTTTGGGGAAGGACTCAATAACTGTACAACTAGCAAAGCCAGTCTAAACAACTCACTGTCTATATAACCAACCATAAAAACTAATAATAGTAATAATATACTCCCAATGCTCTGCACATGACATGTACTTATCTTGATTCCATTGTCATTTATGTACAAATACCAATAAAAATGAAAGGATGAAACATTTGGCTACACATTTGGACACATGGAGATTCCTACCCAGCAAGTGCTCTGAAAATCTGGCTTCTGTTTAACTGTAATCCTATACACAAAAATGATCCTACTCTGTATTGACAATTTCACCATACCTGCAGATATTATAAGGTGTACAATATTACTTGTTATAGATCTTCTTTCTACTAACTCTAGCAATTTATAGATGCTAGAAGTTTAAATAATGCATGAATAAGGTTAAAGAGTTAAATCAATTGAAGACTCTCTCTCCCTCTCCCTCTTACTCTCCCTCCCCCTCTTGCTGAATAATGAAAAGAATTTGGTAAAGGAGGATAAATTGCATTTAAGTGATTTAAATTTAAACATCTGTGCTCCTGAAGGTACCATAACAGGAAATCAGATGTCTGGATTTGATGGGGATTAAGGGGGGAATCAGGACTTAAAGTTGCTGGCTCCCATCTTTCCCAGGTATCCCAGATATCCAACTATACAATTAACAATTTCTTAACTAACAATCTTCACAGAAGCACATTACAATTCTGTTGCAGTCTCATTCATTGACTCACAGTAGGCTTACAGTGCAATTTAAAGTACTAGTGTAGACCTACAATACCTTGTTTCACTGGACCTCTAGATACAACTAGGAATACATTGTATACTTGATCCAATCAATTTGGTTTTCAGGCAAAACTGTTAAAAGTATCCCACTGTTGTGAGGTATGTGGAGGTTTGGAGCTCCGTAATTCAACTCAAGAGAAATGCCTGGAATATAAACTCACTAAAATCAGACTTGCTCCTATCTTGATTTCATTTTGAAAGATGATCAAGGCTGAACGCATCTACAGAATGCTTTCCTAAGAGACTGAATGCCAAATAGATTTAAATATTTAATCAGTTGTTCCCTTCAGACTAATTATTACATAATTTTAAAGATGCATTCTTAAAGATGCATCTTCATGAAGGAGTACTATTATGCGATATGTGGAACTGTACAGTTGGACTCATTTAATTTGCAATCACTTGGTGGTTTTGAAATGGCTTATGATTTCCCAGACATCATGAAAACCATGAGGTTATCCCAGGTCATGTTCTGCACAACACAGAAGTGGCCACACACACTATATTTGGTTTATACCTTGGAGGAGTTGAGATGTAACTAATAGTAAAATATATCAAATATACTTATGGATTAATCATTTTAGAGTGACTGTGAGGCTAACCTGAGATACTATTATTTTATTAAACATAGTTTGCTAATGTTTTATGAAGACAAGCAGTGTGGTATAATGGTAAGGAAGCACTGGACAAGAGCAAAGAGATCCAGATTCCAATTTTCTCTTAGGCATTGAAACCAACCGAGTGACTGAGAGATACCAGTCAGTATCTCTCAGTCCTAGAAACTAGGAAATCAAAAACCATCTCCCTAACATTCAGCACTGGACCAATGTGTACACTGCAGTTCATTACCTTCAATTAAGAAGTTTTTATTCTACTGAAAATTGATTTAGGTAACAACAACAATTATATATGTTATTTTTTGTTTACATGAAGTTGATTGAAAAATAGCATAGAAGTGATCAGTTGTTTGTGGAAATGATATGACCACCAACAAAAAATTTGTTTTCCCTGTATTATCAGGCAAAGTTTATTTTACAAAAGTGCTTAAACAAACTTTATGATACTTATTTCTTGTTACTTAATTCCTACCACTACATCTACCTCGATTTCTATGTGGCTATTCCTATATATGTTATAATGTGTCTAAATCTAAAAATGTCTATATACAGTTCTTTTTTTCCTTGATTGACTTCTTTACATCTGCATAGTCTAATAGGCTTAACTCTTAATTGAAGATTATGGACCATCCTCAGTCTGAGATATAAAAACCTCATTGATTTGAAATACAACCACAACTTTAGCTTGCATTTAGCTATGCCAGAGTTATTTAGCTCTTTTGCTGGCTGGTAGTCTAATATTTCCAATTCAGTAATGTTGGCTCTGTCCTGAACTCCTGCAGAGGCTTTGGCATTGTAATCTTTCAATTTGTGTTGTGAGGAAAGGGAAGATGCATCTTCAGTTGATGGCTAGCTGTTAGCTATTAGCATCTTTGGCTGCTAAGCTCTGCCAAGCTCTGCCAAGCTCTAGTTCTCGATTCAGTATTTAGTTGTTGGTTTGTCAGAATTTACATCTAAACTTCCCATGCCATCAGTCATCCATTACACACTATATACTTTACCTTGGCAGCTTCTCCTCTCTTTCCCTGCAATTTCCTCTTCTCCTATACAACAATCATATCCTTTCAATATAACACCAATACTCACAAGCATCCTCTTTTTACAGGTGGAATGAAGACGTGCTACTCATGCTGCTTTAGGTTCCCAAGTGAAGAGAAAAGAAAAAGTGAAGGAATGCCTTGTGATGACTATTGAGATGCTTCTTTCAACAAACAAACTATTGTGAGGCTTCTTTCAACAAACAAACAAAAGCAAAAAACACATGCTGTAGTATTCAGCAGGCTTTCTCTGCCTCTGATTAGAAAAATGGATCTCAATTTGGAAAGTATGAGGTTTATCATTTATGACTCTAGCCTTTTTGCCATACTGTAGAAAACTATGAAATGCCTCTTTTGACCAGTAATTGAATGT